CTAAACAGAAGATCAACAAAAACATAACTTTGAATGACACACTGGACCAGATGAACTTAGAAATATGTACAGAATAATCCACTCTAAAACAACAGAATAATCATTCTTCTTGAATCCACATGGAACTTCCTCCAAAACAGACCACATACTGGGTTACAAATCAGGTCTCAACCAATACCAAAAGACTGAGATTATTCCCTGCATATTAGACGACAGTGGCTTGAAACTGTAACTCAGTCACAAGAAAAAGTTTTGAAAAACTCAAACACTCGGAAGCTAAAGACCATCCTGCTTAAGAACATTTGGGTCTTTGCCTGGGTGGCTCAGTGGGTTAAGCCGCTGCCTTCAGCTCAGGTCATGATCTCAGGGTCCCGGGATCGAGTCCCGCATCGGGCTCTCTGCTCAGCAGGGAGCCTGCTTCCCTCTCTCTTTCTCTCTCTGCCTGCCTCTCTGTCTACTTGTGATCTCTCTCTGTCAAATAAATAAATAAAATCTTAAAAAAAAAAAAAAAAAAAAAAAGAACATTTGGGTCAACCAGGAAATCAAAGAACAACTTAAACAATTCATAAAAACCAATGAGAACGAAAGCATATCGGTCCAAAACCTACGGGCTATGGCAAAGGCGGTCCTAAAGGGGAAATAGAGAGTCATCCAAGCCTCATTCAAAAATACAGAAAAATCCCAAATACACAAACTACCTTTATACTTTCAAAGAATTGGAGAATAAAAAAATTAAGCCCAACCAATGCACAAAAAGGGTAATAATTAAGATCAGAGCGGAGATCAATGAATTACAAACCAGAGATACAGCCGAACACATCGACAAAAACCAGAAGTTGGTCCTCTGAAAGAATTAATGATATTAATAAACCACTGGCCAGACTTAACCAAAAAAGAGAAAGGACTCAAATTAATAAAATCAGGAATGAAAGGGGAAAGATCATGACTAACACCAATAAAATAGAAACAATTAACAGAAATTATCATCAACAGCTATATGCCAGTAAGCTAAGCAACCTAGAAGAAATGGATGCATTCCTAGAAACCTATAAACTTCTAAGACTGAAACGGGACAACTGACAACCTGAATAGACCAATGACCAATAACAAAATTGAAACATTAATTAAAAACCTCCCAAAAAACAAGAGTTTAGGGTCAGATGGCTTCCCACGGAAATTCTACCAAACATTCAAAGAAGAAATCATACCTACTCTACTGAAGCTGTTCCAAAAATCAGAAACAGAAGGAAAACTTCCAGACTCTTTCTATGAAGCCACCACTACCTTGATCCCAAAACCAGGCAAAGACCCATCAAAAAGGAGAACTTCAGACCAATATCCCTGATGAATATAGAAGCTAAGATTCTCAACAAGATCCTAGCTAACAGGATCCAACAGTACATTAAAAAGATTATTTACCAAGACCAGGTGGGATTTATCCCTGGGATGCAAGCGTGGTTCAACATTCGCAAATCAATCAATGTGACAGAACAAATCAATAAGAGAAGACAGAAGAACCACATGGTCCTCTCAACCGATGCAGAAAAGGCATCTGACAAAATACAGCATCCTTTCCTGATTAAAACTCTTCAGACTACAGGGATAGAGGGAACATTCCTCAACTTCATAAATTCCATCTACTATCAAAAACCCACAGTGGGTTTCATTCTCAACGGGGAAAAGCTGAGAGCCTTTCCCTTAAGATCAGGAACACGACAGAGATGCCCACTCTCACCACTACTGTTCAACACAGTACTAGAAGTCCTAGCAACAGCAACTGGACAACAAAAGGAAATAAAAGGTATTCAAACTGGCAAAGAAGAAGTCAATCTCTCTCTTCTCAGATTACATGATACTCTTAGGTGGAAAATCAAAATTCTCCACCCTAACCCTAACCCTAACCCTAACCCTAACCCTAACCCTAACCCATACAGCAATTCAGCAATATGGCAGAACACAAAATCAATGCACAGAAATCAGCTGCTTTCTTATACTCTAACAATGTGACTGTAGAAAGAGAAACCAGAGAAGCGATTCCATTTACACCAGCACCGAGAACCATAAGATACCTTGGAAAAAACCTAACCGAAGAGGTGAAGGATATGTACTCTAGGAACTACAGAACACTCATGAAAGAAACTGAAGACGACAAAAAGATGGAAAAACATTCCATGCTCACAGATCAGAAGGATAAACACTGTCGAAATGTCTATCCTCCCCAGAGCTATCCGTACTTTCAACGCCATCCCCATCGAAATACCAGGGCATTTTTCAAAAAACAATCCTAAAACTCGTAGGGAACCAGAAAAGACCCGAAACTGCCAAGGAAATGTTGAAAAAGATAAACAAACCTGGGGCATCACATCGCCTGGCTTCAAGCTTTATTACAAAGCTGCAATCACCAAGACAGCATGGTAATGGCACAAAAACAGACACACAGATGAATCAAATGGAACAGAGAGCCCAGATATGGACCCTCAACTCTATGGTCAACTAATCTCCCACACACCAGGAAAAAATATCCTTTGGAAAAAAGACAGTCTCTTCAATAAATGGTGCTGGGAAAACCGGAGAGCTCTGTACAGAAGAATGAAAGTCAACCATCCACTTACAACATACACAAAGATAAACTCAAAATGGATGAAAGAACTCAACGTGAGGCAGGAATCCATCAAAATCCCATAGGAGAACATAGGCAGTAACCTCTTCGACATCGGCCACAGCAACTTCTTTCGAGACGTGTCTCCAAAGGCAAGGGAAGCAAAAGCAAAAATGAGCTTTTGGGACTTCATCAAGACAAAAAGCTTCTGCACAGCAAAGGAAATGGTCAACAAAACACAGAGGCAATCCATGGAATGGGAGAAAATATTTGCAAATGACATACAGACAAAGGGCTGATATCCAAGATCTATAAAGAACTCCTCAAACTCAACACCCAAAAAAGCAGATAATCATGTTAAAAAATGGGCACAAGACATGAACAGACAATTCTCCAAAGAAGATATACAAATGGCCAACAGACACATGAAAAAATGTTCATCATCATTAGCCATCAGGGAGATGCAAATCAACACCACAGCGATACCACCTTACACCAGTTAGAATGGCAAAAATTAACAAGACAAGAAACAAGTGTTGGAGAGAATGTGGAGAAGAGGGAACCCTCTTACACTGTTGGCGGACTGCAAGTTGGTGCAGCCACTTTGGAAACAGTGTGGAGGTTCCTCAAAAAATTAAAAACAGAGCTACTCTATCACCCTGCAATTGCACGACTGGGTATTTACCCCAAAGATACAAATGTAGTTAAAAGAAAGGCACAGGGTACCCCAATGTTTACAGCAGCAATGCCACAATAGCCAAACTGTGGAAAAAGCCAAGATGCCCTTCAACAGATGAATGGATAAAGAAGATGTGGTCCACATTTACAATGGAATATTACTCAGACGTCAGAAAGGATGAATAGCCAACTTCTGCATCAACATGGATGGGACTGGAGGAGAATATGCTAAGTGAAATAAGTCAATTATCTGATGGTTTCACTTACTCGTGGAACATAAGGAAGAGCACAGAGGACATGAGAAGGAAGCGAAAATGAAGGGGGAGGGAAATCAGAGGAGTAGATGAACCATGAGAGACTATGGACTCCTGGAAACTGAAGGTTTCAAAGGGGAGGGGTTGGGGGATGGGTGAGCCCAGTGATGGGTATTAAGGAGGGCACATATTGCATGGAGCGGTGGGTGTTATACAAACAATGAATCATGGAACACTGCATCAAAAACTATGACATACTATATGACTAACTATATGGTGACTAACAACATAATAAAAATTAAAAATTTTTTTTAAATGAAATAATAGGTATTATTCTTATCCTTTCAAAAATCTTACTATGCATTCTTCTATTACATATACCTAGCTCCAAATTGGAAAAAAAAGATATCATTCCCAATTTGTCACTGCATTTATTTCTTTTGTGCTTCATGCAGAACTTATTTTTAACTTTTTTTCCTCTTAATGTTCTGGAAGTACAATTTGTTTTGGTAACCATACAGTTTTAAGAATTTTTAAGACCTTTCCCACAAACTGGACAATCTCATTCTCAAGAAAAAGTATCTCAAGATTCCTCGATTTTGAAAAAATTTTGTACCCTTAACTGATAACTACTACTTTGGAAAAAATTTTACTGATTCCCAAATTATTAGCTCACTTTTCTTTAGATAATTATCAGATGCTTCCTTGTTTGAAGAACTAAAGTACTAATGCAGAATCTATCCAAATTGCAGTAATCTGAGCTAGATCACCATCTTTCTTCCTTCTACAGCCGATTATTAAAATATTTTAAAATTCAGTATTAGTTTTACTCAGAAAGTATCTAAGAACAAACAGCATTACCCTTTTTTTTTTTTTAGTTAACATATAATGTATTACTTGCTTCAGGGGTACAGGTCTGTGAATCATCAGGCTTAAAGGATTCACACCACTCACCACAGCACATAGCCTCCCCCGTGTCCATCACCCAGCCACCCCATCTCTCTCCCCGCAAACTGCATTATCCTAATGCAATATATTTTAGAAGCACAAATATCCAAAATTTAATGAGAACATATGTGGACACAAGAAATGGGGTTTTTTTTGGTCATTGTTGTTGTTTTTAAAGATTTTATTTATTTGAGAATGTAAGCGCAAGCAGGGGATCGGCAGAGGGAAAAACAGACAACCCCAGGAGCAGGAAGCCCGATGAAGGACTTAATCCCAGGACCCTAAGATCATCACCTGAGCCAAAGGCAGATAACTGACTGAGACACACAGAGGTCCTCACAAAACAGGTTTAGCAAGATAGAAAACTAAGTCTCTCTTGTCTGTATTTTTAATTTTCTGATACTACATTGTTTGACACATGAAAACCCCTGCCTGGATGGGGAGAGACTGCTCCTCTGAGGCTAGCCAATTCTCTGAAATACCAAAGAACCCAGCAAAGAGTTTGCATTTCATACTCAAACCAACCAATCGAGGGCCATACCTTCAGTTAGGCTTCGGCACAAGAGGACGTAATATTCCTCTGCCTTAATCATCCCAGGGCCAGGTACCAGGCAGGAAGGAAACAGGAATGTTCCAATAGATTAGAGTCCACCAAAACTGTTCAAACCAGCCAATCCTAAACCATTTCCCTACTGTGCCTCGCCCTTCCCTGGGAAACCCCAGTAAGGCCATGACCTAGGCTTTCCCCTTACCCTGTTCCTACAACCTGACCCATGCTTTTGCTTTGTACTATGGCCCTCTGTGGCAAGTCTCCTGAGTATAACTTTTTCCCAAGCTTCCCTTGTGGCTGACTATCCATCTTGTAAAAGAACACAGAACAAAACTAACAATTAAAAAAATAGACAACAATACAGAGTCTATGTGAATCAACCCAAGATTCAAGAAAACCCCTAAAACTGTATTAAAAAGAGGGGTGTCTGCATGGCTCAGTCAGTTAGGCCCTTGGTTTCAGTTCAAGTCCATGATCTCATGGATCGTGAGACTGAGAACCATGTCAGGCCCTTTATCTCTGTCCCTCCCCGCTAATATGGTTTTTCTCAAAGAAATAAATAATATCTTTTTTAAAAAAACTATATTAAAAGAATATGTTTTTAAAATGTGTAAAAACAAAACTACCAGAACAAAAATATTACAAACAATACCCATAAAAATAAAATAACTCATTCATTTTCAAATAAATCCATCTTGAACCAACTATACATGAAAAAAAAAAAAGAATGTGTTATAGATATGAACTGAACAAGTCCTAGATAAACTTTGAAGTTTTGGGGGAAAAAAAGGCACTCACATCAGGTTGTAGTCTTTTTGCCCGCCGACTATAGCTACTAAACTTGGAAGGCTGCACAGACTGTCTAAAGGGAATGCTGTGGGGTTTGTATTCCTTGTCTTTTTCCTCATTGTCAAATGGGTGAGTGTTACACTGCTGGGAACATGAGAAAACCTAAGATCAGGAATTCAGTCACATTCATAATCAGCAAATAATGAAATGATTCCTTTATCTTAAATCTCTAACAATGAAAGCTGTACTTCCTTCTTAATTACACAAATTTACCCTTTATATTTTCTGTGATAAAAGCACACATACAATGAGAATTCTTCTACATATTTGCTTATATATAAGCAGTAAAGCATAGTGGAGAACAGTCTTTGGAAACAACTACCAGGTTTGAACCTAGGCTTCTATTCTTACTTTGTTTGCCTTGTGCTGTTCCAATACCTTTGTCAGAAAAGTGGACAATATAAATATCAAATACAACAGAATTACACAGATTAAGTAAAATAGCCATTTATAAATATTCACATATACACAGTTTTACAAAATGCCCTGAAAATAAAACTTAAAAACGTTATTTTAGATACCCAGCCAAATTAGTTCCCACTCCTTGAGTTAAACCCAGTCTCAAAATATTATCCTTAAACTAACTCTCTTTTATCTGCACTACCCTTAAAAAGCTTAATAATTCCATAAGATAATTATTTTTATCACAGAGGATGCTTTTGTCTTATACTTTGATAGCCACTCCATAAAAATATCCTAGTAACCTTCAAGAGAGGAAGACAGAAAAAAAATCCTCCAATTCTCACATACCTGCTCTAGCATATCTAAAACTTCTTCAAAATATACTTCATACTTCTTTTCAAACTGAACAATATTTTCCAGAGCCAATTCCCAAAATTTCCATCAATGTACCTAAAGATTCTAAACCTTGACTGCTCAGGAAGAAGCTCAATCCAGAAAAAGGAAGACAAGAGTAGAAAGCAAAATCATATTAGGCCCCAAATCAGCTAAGAGCCCTCACCACAAGGTTGGCTCCGGACTGAAACATTTCATAGGGATAAATGATGCGCTCATAATGAGATCGTAGCAGGGAGCCAATATTTTTGCCTGGCGGATAGTTGAGTCGTTGGGCAACTCGGGCCCAACGACGGTCTTTGCAAATGGCTTCATAGCCACCTTCCTCCATCACAATCTGCAAGGATAAGAAAGGTGTAAATTAACTGTATGCAAACTAAGAGACCTAAACAACAGCAGTGAGGGTTAAATATGAGCACTGTGCACTCCCACCTATATCAATTGTTCCAAGGTGAAAAGATTTTGTAAAGAAATATGGGCAAGCTCTGTGTTGTGTCCTTTCCTGCTTAGAGACACAAAATTTCAACCACAGGGTTTCCTACCCAGGGGTTTTTACTTCTTTTTCCTCTTTAAAGCAGAAGTACTCTCACCTTACTAAGGCTGTAGAGATCCAAGATCCGCCGTTCCACATTGGGAATTTTTAATGAAGAACCTTGGATTTCCCAGAATTTTGCAATCTGATCCAAATAGTTCAGTTTTACTCTGGTCTGAGCCTGGGAAAGAGAGAGTCCTATGAGACTGGTTTACTCCTTAACTTGACTGTGGTCCAATGTGACTTGAATGAACAAGTATTGTTCCGTACATTTACAGTGCCCTACTAGGCTAGAATCTACATTTCACTATCTTACCACTAGTGTCTAACAAAGGCTCAACTAAGCTGATTCTTCAATCTAAAAAGAGAGCTCAAAGAGTGATGCCTCAAAGTCAAAATCTTTCATCCCTAAATCTAAAGCACCATCCTTAGGTTTAGTAAAGGAAAGGCTAAGCAAGACCATTTAGGCTTAATCTAATATCTTCCTTACAGCATGCTGTAGGCTATATACACTGAAAAAAATGAAGTATTTTTCTATGTTATGTCAAAAATTTCCATAATTTCTGAATTACCCTTCTCTTATGCTAAGTCATTTTGGAATTTCTAATTTTTAACTAAGGCCAAAACTCATAATAGCAAAAGAAAATACCACATCATTCATAAGCTTTCCATATTTAATACTACTAAGCTGAATATGCAGGCTATTGACTGCTTTAAAAAATAAAATTTGTCTTTCCTAATTACTCTGACCCATATCAAATACAATCCATCTTATTCAAGAACTTATATACTACCACCAGTCAAGTGGAAAATTTAGTTGACCATGTATCTGTCCTGAACTTTGCTCTTATGAAGAAATCAGGGAAATTCCACAATGATAAAATATGTTGGCACTGGCAGGAAAAAAATCTGTCTTCTTGCTATCCCTAATTTTAGCCCATTCTATGGCAGAAAAATATGTCATTCAATTCTGAAAAAAAAAAAAAAAAAAAAAAAAAACCTCTTCTTCATGTGCTGTCATTTTGCAGAAGACTTTATAAGAGATGAATATTCTGGGAAAAAATGGAACTGGTGTTAGAATCAAATATTATCTCCTTTAAAAACGTGTATGGTTAACTACAGTTATATAAGTATTAGTAAAGCATGATCAGAGCTCAAATTCCTGCATAATCGGATGACTTTCCATTTTACCTCCAGTTCATTTAGCCTCTGAATGCGAGGTGTGAATCTGAAGTTGTCAACTTCTACTGCAAAGGGAGGTTGCCAGTCCTAGAAGAATATAAAAGATCTTATTATGGCATAGCAAAGGATAAAGATGGCAAGAACTAGAACCATTTGTTTTCAGTATAATATTCCTCCCTTTTAAGACTTCTGGTTGCTATTTTTTGCTCCTAAATGTTCAAATGGTTGCCTCTTTAATATCAAGTAAATGAAAAAGAAAAACAGCAACAACAACAACAAAAAAAAAACACCTTTGAAATGCCTTGGTACGTGTCCTCCAACAAAACAAGGGGAAAAAACAAAACAAATCCTGAGAAAAGGCCTAAAAGATTAATTTGAAAGTAATGAAGCACACCTCAATGTGGACTCACTTGTTTGGGTTCTTACTAAAGTGAAGAAAAATGTAACATGGATCAGAAGTGATTTTGAAAGCTGGATCACTATTTATTCACACTCCCAACAGTGTTTTAAGAAGAGAATCATAATTCGTAGTAGTGAGAAAAATATGTACAAATAGAAGAAAGAAATGTTGTAGTCAGGTTAAGCATCTAACAAATGAGTGTGCAGTAAGAGGACATGCTGAATTTTCATTTCCGTCATTTAAAGTGATAGCCTAGACGCAGTTAAGTTTTCATTCTTAATTCAGGGACAGGTAACAGTTTCAGTTAGCAGTTTTGAGTAAAACAAATCCAGAAGAGAGACCTGTCCGTGAAAACCAAATTAAATAGAAGGAAGATTTCACAACCGCCCGCATTCTTACCTGAGTTTCTTACAACACGAGACCAAAGGCCCAGGGGTTAATAAGAAAATCTATATAATTCTTTTTTTCTGCTTTCAGTTACATATCAAGACTTGTAAGTACATTTGAACGTTTTTCAATGTAAATATAAAAAACATAAATGTTATTGTATTAGAAATGCGTGTGTTGTAGCACAGCATACAACCAACTTCAAATTCTATCTTATTTTCTTTGTAAAATAAATGTTTATAACCCCACGAGGTTCGACGGTTGGAAACCACCTCTCTGATTCCACCGTATCATGGTTATTTACAAAACAAGAAATTATACATGCATACAGTATTTAACACCAAGAACTAACGAATTAAGGCCTTGTAGTACTATAGTTTCCAATCCGATTTCCAAATTTTGTTTTAAAGCCTTACCGTTGGTGGACGGATCTTGCAAATACCCGACTTTTCTGCAATGGGCCTGATTTTCGCGATGTAGCCCAGCGGGTCTCGGAATTCGGCCCACGTAGGTTCGAACACTGGGCACTCTGGCGGCGGTAGGAAGTCGTCAGACCCGGGATCCATCCCGTGTTCAGATGCTAATTTGAAAAATGGTTTCCTCTTTCTTCGGTGGCATATGAATCCTTTGTCGCCGAAACCTGGGCCCTAGAGGGCCTTTATTTTCCTTTAACTTTTACCGTTCTTTTAATTCATGCGATTGCTCACGACTCTTCAGTTCTACAACCACCATCTTGACCCTGCAGCTTTTCCGGTTGCTTTACACTTCGTGTCGCTCCGCGGATGGATTCTTCAGGCGCTAAAGCATTTCGAAAACGGAGCTGTTCTATGTGGGCTAATAAAAGCTAGAGACACATAATGGAGTTCACTAAAACAAAACAAGCGCCATAAACCAGGCATTCCAGTAACATTAAACAGTTCTTCAACGGAAGAGGAGAGCACAATCACTAATAAAACCGCCGGATCTTTTTTTTTTTTTTTAAACACAACTGCGCATGTTACTCCTGCGCAGTAGACAGAAGATCGTACAAATCCTGTGACTGGTCAATCATTTACTTGTTTTTTATACAGAAAATTCCACATTTAGGAAACTTGCAAGCCCAGTCCGTTCCGTTCCTGTACCCTTCCAATCCACGACGACGTGACCACTCATCCCATAGCCCTTGAAACAGTCTCCAGAAATTTACTGGCTTTTCAGTTACTCACCTGGCTTTATCGTAACAGAGTTACAACTCTTTTACAATCCTAGAACTATTTGTAAAATACGAATTGTTTTTATTCGTGTACACTATCTCACTAATATACGCAGTTGGCATGCATACATTTTCTTACTGCATTTGTACGAACTAAAGATCTCATTCATTTATATCTAAACAGTGGGAGGGGCACTAAAAGCTTTTATAAAAAATGTCAAGTAAATGCATCCCCTAAAAATTAGAAACAATTCGATAAAAAACTAAGTGCATTACTACAAAGACCTACTCAAATAATTACGTAGTCCGTTTTGCAATTCCTAACTATCCATACAATCAAATAAAAGAACCGGGCTAGGAAAATAAGAAACAAAAAATCAAAAACCTAGTTGCCTTGTGGAAGAGCAGTCCCCTTATTGAACATACACAAACACTATGACAGCTACCAAACAAAACGTACCAAATACTAAAGTATCAAATAGAAATAAAATACCTGGTCCTATTTCTCAGAGAAATACCATATTCGTAAAAAAGAGTAAATTGTTGTGATCACAACCCCCAGGAAACTCTAATTTGGAATGACTAGGCAAACTACACCTTATTCCTTGTTATTACTACGTTGGTCTCTAAAAAGATGGAATCACTGCCCTGGTTATTTCTCAAATTACAATTAATTGTGAAGTGTTATCTCAAAAGCTGTTAGAGTTAGCTATGTACAATTTTTTTTCCCAATGTCTTACTTCTATGTTTATATGAGAAATTTGCTATAATTTCTTGTCTTCCAATTACTAAGATTAAGTTTTACACTGTGAAATATATTTTGCAGTATCTTCTTAATCTATGCGTTTGAAGGATTGCAAAGTAAGGAAGTACCCATTTGTTCCTTAAAATTTACTGTTGGGGTGGAGGAGGGAATTTACTCTTGGGAGCGCATGGGTGGCTCAGTGGGTTAAGCCTCTGCCTGTGGCTCAGGTCATGGTCTCAGGGTCCTGGGATCCCCGTTCTAGGTTCAGGGTCCCGGGAACCAGCCCTGCATTTGGCTCTCTGCTCAGTTGGTGGGAGCCTGCTTCCCCCCCTCTCTTCTCTGCCTGCCTCTCTGCCTACTTGTGATCTCTCTCTCTCTCTCTCTCTCTTTCTCTCTCTCAAATAAATAAATAAATAAAATCTTAAAAAAAAAAAAGTTACCCTTGAGTACCTGATGGCTCAGTAGTTAAGCTTCTGCCTTTGGCTCAGCTCAATGGGCTCTGCTCAGTGAGGACTCAGCTTCTCCCTCTCACTCTTCCTCTGTTCTCTCTCTCTAATAAATGGTAAGATTTTAATTAATTAATTAATTAATTAATAATTACTCTAAAAAATTAACTGTTATGCCCCATTTTGACAGTGGAAGAGAAATTTTTGCTTTTAGGTTTCTTGATGTGACTGAAATACTGTTTCATTTAACACTATTCTTGGTTATTTCTTTTTTCCAAAAGCTTATCCACTTGACCTAGGTTATCAGCACTATTAATTTATTAGGTTAAGTATATTATGTTTAAATGTTTATTTCATCATTTTCATCTTGTTTTTACCTTCTAGCATTTCATGTACATTTTTCTTTTATATTTCATAAAATCAGATTTGCCATGGATTACCTTATACTATTAATCTTTCATAGGCTTAGTTCTACTTCCCCCCCATAATCCTAGAATCACTTTTTATTAAACAGGTTTATTGAGATAGAATTCACAAAACATAATATTCTCATAATATTCTCCATCTTAAAGTATACAATTTTGTTTATTTACACAGTTGTTTAACTCTGACCACTGTCAAATTCCAGAACATTTTATTACTTCAGCAAGAAGCCCCATATACATAGGCAGTCACATCCCACTCCCTCACAAGCACTAATCAATTTTCTGTTACTATAGATTTCAATATTGGATATTTCCTAAAAATGGAATCATGAAGTATGTACCTGGCTTTTTCCTTTGTGTCTGGCTTCCTTACTTTCGCATAATGGTTTAAGATTCACCCATGTTGTAATATTTTTCAAAATTCCACAAGATTGGCTATGTTAAGCATTTGTAAGTGAATGTAAACATTTCATTTGAGGTGTGCAAATCATAATTTTATATTTAATGACAGGATAATATTCCATTGTATAAATATACCACATTTTTTTTATTCTTCAGTTTGTGAACATTTGAGTTGTTTCTACTTTTAACTATGAGTAATGTTACTATAAACATTTGTTTACAGATTTTTTACATGTGTATGTTTTATAATTGCTGGGTTATTTGGTAATTCTGTGTTTAAACTTCTCAGAAACTGCCAGTCTATTCTCCAAATTAACTCTATGAACCTAATTCACACCAGATGTGTAAAACATTCTGATTTTCACTTCTTTACAACACAATTGTTGTCTTACTGGTATGTTCATATGTTCATCTTACTGTTAATGTAGTATCTCATGCACTTTTGATTTGCATTTTCTGAATTACTAAAAATTATGAAAAATTTCATGTGCTTGTTGACCATTTGTAAGTCTTCTTTAGAGAAATATTTTTTCAAGCTGTTTGCTCATTTTAAAATTGGATTGTTTGCCTTTTTGTTGTTTAGTGGTGTTTTTTTTAAATAATCTAAATATTTTCTGCTGTAAGAGTATGAGTGATCTAGGGGCGCCTGGGTGGCTCAGTGTCTTAAGCCTCTGCCTTCCGCTTAAGTCATGGTCTGGAATTGAGTCCTACATGGGGCTCTCTGCTCAGTGGGGAGCCTGCTTCCCTCTCTCTTTGTCTGTCTCTCTGCCTACTTGTGATCTCTGTCAAATAAATAAATAAAATGTTTAAAAAAGAAAAGAGTGGGACACCTGGGTGACTCAGTTGGTTAAGCTGCTGCCTTCGACTCAGGTCATGATCCTAGCATCCTGGGATCGAGTCCCACGTCGGGCTCCTTGCTCAGCAGGAGCCTGCTTCTCCCTCTGCCTCTGCCTGCCACTCTGTCTGCCTGTGCTCACTCTGACAAATAAATAAATAAAATCTTAAAAAAAAAAAAAAGGAGTATGAGTGATCTACAAAAAGACAAAAAACAAAAAGCTTTTTCCAATTCTGTTGTCTTTTTGCCTCTCCAGTCATGGCCTTTGAAGTATAAATGTTTAATGTGATTACTGTCTGCTGTATTTTGTTTTTGTCACTTGGATTCTCAGTGATTTAAAAGGGAGAGGCTTTACTAACCCAGAGTCACATATATTCCCTTGTACTCTCTTCTGAAAGTTTTATAATTTCAGATTTTACATGAGAAGTCACCTTTATGTGTACTGTATTTTAGTGGCCCAACTGTATACCTTTTTGTGTGGGTATCCAGTTGTGACAACACAATTTCATGAAGATATAATTATGTCTTGATGGGTCTTGGCACCTTTGATGAAAGTTGATTTGCCTTCCATACATTTTTTCCCCAAATTAGTAATTCTATTTCATTAATTTATATGTGTATCCTAATACCAATACTACATTGTTTTGGTCACTGTAGTTTTGTTGTATGTTTTTAATCGGGAAAAGGGAGTTTTTCTTTTTTATTTTTTTCATTGCTTTTTTTAAAAGATTTTTATTTATTTTATTTGTCAGAGAGAGAGAGCATGCACAAGCAGGGAAGAGGCAGACAGAGGAAGAAGCAGGCTCCCCAGCGAGCGAAGGGCCTGATACAGGGCTTGATCCCCGGACCCTGGGATCATGACCAACTTAACCAACTGAGCCACTCAGGCATCCCAGGAAAGGTGAGTTTTTCAGTATTCATTTAGCTATTGTATGTCTATTGCATTTCCATATGAATTTTTTTATCAACTTGTATATTTTTCCAAAGAAGTCAGCTAAAGTTTAGATAGGAAATGTGTTGAATCTGTAGAGAAGTTTTGGGCATATTGCCCTTTTAACAATATTAAAGTTTTCTAATTCATGAGCAAAGGATGTCTTCTGATTTACTTAGACCTTCTTTAGTTTGTTTCAAAAAAGTTTTGTAATTTTAGGGGCTCTTAAGTGGCTTAGCCATTAAGCTTCTTCCTTCAGCTCCAGTCATGATCCCAAGGTCCTAGGATCAAGCCCCGCGTTGGGCTCCTGCTCACTGGAGAGCCTACTTCTCCTTCTCCCACTCCCCCTGCTTGTGTTCTCTCTCTCTCTCCCTGTCAAATAAGTAAAAATTTTTAAAAGATTTATCATTTTAAATGTACACATTTTATACTTCTTTTATTAATTTATTCCACATCATTTTATTTTATATGCTATTGTTAGTGGAATTTAAAACATTTCATTTTTTTATTGTTTATTGCTAGTGTATGGTAATTGATTTTCTGTGGGCACCTGGGTAGCTCAGTTGTTAAGCGTCTGCCTTCTGCTCAGGTCATGATTCCAGGTCCTGGGATCAAGTCCTGCATCAGGCTCCTTGCTCAGTAAAAAGCCTGCTTCTCCCTCTTGCTCTGCCTACTTGTGCTCTCTCTCTATCTCTCTGTCAAATGAACAAATAAAATCTTTAAAAAAAAAAAAAAAGGAAGAAGAAGAAGAAATATAATTGATTTTTCTGTATTGATCTTGTGCCTTGCTAGCTTCAGTTAGTGTCATACTAAATTCAGTTATTCTAATAATGTGTTTTCTTTTAAGATTTTACTTATTTATTTATTTGACAGAGATCACAAGTAGGCAGAGAGGCAGGCGGGGAGATGGGGGAAACGGCTCCCCACTCAACATAGAGCCCCATGTGGGACTCAATCCCAGGACCCTGAGACCATGACCCGAGC